GCGCTCGACTTCCTGGAGAATTAATGCTTGACTGAGGAAAAATCGAGCGAATACCTCATTACTGGGTGTGTTTACAGCATACCTTAATATAATGGCTAGCTCTTTGTTAGGCAAACAACGAGTGGTTTGGAGAATGGGTCATTAATGACTTTGCATTTGGTTTTGCCTAGTGTTGACCGAGATAGAAGTTCAGCAAGAGCAAGCTTGAACAGTGTCAGGCAAAAGGGATTCTTCAAATGGAGTTAAAAATGGAGCAGCAGAGGAGGGGGAGTGAGATCTGAGAGGTGCTGATCACTCCTCCGAGATGTCAGAGGCAGGCAGAGCAGGTATGGCTCATCCCAAAGTGGGCTATGGGGAAACAGGTGCAGAGTGGCAGAGGGCGCTGGGTTGTCCCACACCATGACGTGGTGGCTACCCAGCAGCACTCTCATTTCTAAGGTGTCTGGGGACACCAGATGCGTTATGGATCACTGGGGATCAGTGAGATCAATATCAGACGGAGTCCCGCTGGCAATGAACCGGAGCGGGATGGCAGGTGGGGGCTCAGAGGCTGGCTTGTGCTGGGAGGGGTTGCATTCATGCTCAGTGCCTTCTGTCATGTGGTGTGATGCTGACCAGCAATTGTGGTGTTGTTTACATGGTGCCTGAAGGGTGCAAGGTGTGGCAAACATAACATCCTGAAGAGCTCAAGGGAATCTGCTGGAGAGAGAGGAGTGCTGAGGGAATGAGAGAGAGAGGGGAGGAAAAACAAGCCAGAAGCCACCAAAATGACATTAAAAAAAAAAAAAAAAAATTATTTTTCATGTGCACAAAAAGAGAAAAGAATTAAACGGAACCAAAGCGATGAGGAAAAGCCAGGAGTGGCTGCAACAGCCTAGAATGGAAATTACCCTGCACCTGGCACTGGTCCTCTCCGTGTGCTCATGCCTTGCTCAGCCTAGAGAGCATCAGCAGAGCTGCATGCGGTTGGATCTGCTTTCAGTTCTGTAATTGCTGCTGTTTGTTCCCTCCTTCCTGCTTTGCAAGTTTGCCACTGTCTTGGACCCAGCCAAGGACACAACATGGTATGTGTGGGATCCTCTAGAAGCCCCCATTCTGTCAGATCCCAAAGGCAGCTATAATTCTCTTCTGAGAGCCTGCTTTTCCATAGGGAAGAAAGGCTATTTTTTTTCAACAGTTCAGTAAATCAAAAAATTCCTTTAGGAAAATGTTGATGTACATATATTAATCTATACTCAAGAAGAGAAATAGGTGCAGGGCTTTTTAGTTTTCATTTTGAGGTTGGTTTGTCAGCCTCACGTTCATTTCTTCAGTTCTGGTCGTGTTCTGAATGTGACCCATCATTGCTGGTGGGTCACAGAGCATGCAGATGTGGCCCCATTTCCACACAGCAGGGCTCGTTGCTGCTTTACCTCCCACCCCAGGTTTTAACAGATCTGCCCTGTGCAACCCTTCCAGCTTCTTGCCCCCACATCCCGCTGGGCCAAAAGGACATGAGAGCTTCACAGAACAGGACTCAAAAGTGCTGCCCAGTTTTTAATAGCGTGGTCCCTGTTCCTCCCAGCGAAGTATGGCATTTGAGAACTCACAAGATTCCTCCCTCTCAAAACAAACAAACAAAAAACAACAACAAACAAGCAAAACTGTTACAGAAGATGCAGTTGCACAGCATTTCTGCTTGGTCCATTAGATAAAGCAACCATAGCAGAAGAGCTAAGAAGGATGTGAAAGAAATGAAGGGAGAGCTAAAGAAGAACAAAGAAATGAAGAGCTTGTTGTGAGAAAAATAAAAAGAGAGAAATGTAATGGAAATGTTCATAATTATTCAGAATAATACTTAGCACTGCAATAGAATTTTCTTTCCAGGATCTTAAAGGTGAGCTGGTGCTAATTAATTCAGCTGCACTGTACTTCTGTGGACTAGGAACTACTGTTATCCCCATTTTACAGAAGATTGGAGTTGAGGCATGGGGGAGAAATTGGACTTGACAGAGGTTCACTGGAGCCAGGTGGAGAACTGGGGAGTCTGAACTCCTGGATACCTACTCCCATACCAGTAATACTGATCTGGATAGAAAAGTACCCTGGGAATGAAAAACACTGAAAGAAAGAGATAGAAGTGAATTAGAGTATGAGAGAGAAATGAGAGAAAGGGAAGAGACAGCAGAATGGAGGAGAGAGATCTGAGTCACAGACTTCACTGGTTTTGCATAGCAATTTCTTTCCTCCAGTATTTTTTTTTTTCTTTTCCTTTTTCCCTGTAAGACTTTTAAAATAATAATGAAAAAGAATCCATTTATAACAAAGCAACTGTTGGCCATTTGGGAAAGGGGTCCTTCCAAGGTTTGGCTGTTCCCTCAGGTTCTGGATTTGTGCTGTGCTTTATTGAACACAGTGTTTTGTTTTCAGTGAGCACAACAAGACTTGCACAGTACAGACAGAGTGTTCCTTATCTACAGGATGAGACGAGGCTGTTTTAATAACTACCATGATGAAGATGGAGATGAACTTATATACAAGAGGAATTGCCTTCACATTACACACATTATCTTCCTACAAAGCAGCAATTGTTTTTGCAAATAACATAGTATTAAATAATTGGTAAATTTTTGCGTTTCCTGCATAGTCCAGTCTAATGGAATCTATATGAATATTGATGGTTTTCTTCCGCGTAATATCACCACATAAATCCCTGTGTCAGCTACTAGACTTTAGCTATAATACTGCTTTACAATGCATCCACCGACTGTAAATCAAAACAATCAACACAAGAAACTCTTTGGCAAATGTAATTCAGTACATTCGCGTGGGGGTCTACAGATGGTGGTGGAAGAGGATTAGACTGCCCAGTCCTTTGCATAATTCTGCTTTGCTTTTGATTTTCCTGATCAAACTACTTGCACTTATGTACTTTCCAGACCAACCAGCGCCTGGTGGAAGTCCTTTTATTGGCGGAGTTGCATCAGTGGTGAATTTGTCCCTCTGAGGGTCAGATCAAGCCAGCCACGAGTGAGCCAACCAAACCCAGCTTTTATGACCTATCTCGTGTCTCACGTTTGGCGAAACACCTTTATGAAAAAGAGCATTTCTGAGCTGCTAGCTTCAGTTGAGGTGGCCCCTGGACTGCAGGTTGCTAAACGTGAGGTGTAACCATTTCCTTTCCTTGAGCCTCCTCAGGAAGTTCTAGTGGCCAGTACTGGGATGCATTGCCTTTGGCCCTGAGCACGGGTAGGGCAAGGGCTGTACTGATGGACTAAAAGGGAGACTATGGAACAGGGTCCAGCATCTGTCTGGTGTCTATGGAGGAAAACAAGGAGTGGTACATTTTTAGACATTACTCAGATTTTTGCTTCTCATGTAAAATAAAATGAGACAATGGGCCAAATTGTGGTCTCAGTGACAGTGAAACAACTCTTCTATTTGCAGCAGGTTACTCAGAGGCTAGGAGTGCAGAATAACACTTTAAATAATAGATCAGAAGTAACCTCTTTGACTTTATTCTGTACAGGAACAGATTGTAGCTCTTCATGTTCTATGTAAACACCCCCCTCCCCCCCATACCCTTTTCATTTGGGCATTCCGTTAAAGAAGACACAGACCTATAATCAGCTAGAGCCATGCAAGGGCTACAAGTGTTAGGTGATAGGGGCCTTCGGGATCAACACAGCTGTTTAGTGATGGTGACTTTCATACACACAAGTTAAACTTGAAAACAGAAGGCTGAGTCCACAGCCACATCTCTGGCTGGGAACTTTGGATTTCATACACAATGTTGGCTATATGGACTATATCATTTGCTTTTATGCCCTTTGGAGTTTTGATTCTCAATCCTGTCTTTGTCCATGGACAGTAGCCCATTCATTTTATCAGAAACCTCTCTAAAACAGCAAGGATCTGCTTTGGCAGACTTGATGCCCTGGGGACAGGCTATAGCTGCCTTCATGTTTCCTTTGAGTGTTTTTTAAGAAGTGTCAGTGCAAGGAACAGTTTATGAGTTTGCTGACAATACAGGAGTAATAAGCATTTCTATTGACAGTTAGCCTTTTGCAGAACAGTGTTTGCTAGTCACTTGGGAGCCGAAAAGAGCAGAAAAAATCCCTAGAGAATCATCAGGTGAGCATTTGGGATAAGGGGTAAATATTAGGGTGCACAATATAGGGTTGGATGTGAAAAGATGAGGGTGCATATTGGGACTGGCTGGAAGAATGTGGGCATATGGATTTGAATGTAAGCCCATAAATTATCAGGCATATGAGCAGATGGACTGGAAATTGAAGAGGGGCCCATGTTGCAAGGCTGCAGTGGTTAGGAAATTAGGTGTTGGATACAGATAATGAGGCTGTTGTCACCAGGCTACAGGGATCTGGAGAATGGGTGCTGGACATATGTAAAACTGGGGAAGTTGGGATGTGGGTGAACGGACGTAGGCATGGGTACGGGGATTAGGGTTAAAGGAGAGGAGCCTAAGGGCTAGGGAACCAAGCAACAATCCCAGCCAATCCTGAATTTGTCCATCTCAGTCTCAGCTGTCCGAAGGGCAATCAGATGGGCCCACGTGAAGCCCCACACTTTCCTTTCCACCACAAAGCGCAGTTAGAGTGCAGCTGGGCTTGTTTTCTTTGTTTGCCAACCAGTGACATGGAAAACATTTGTTGACTCAGAGAGCTTTTTGTCGACTGATGTGTTTGGTAACTTTGTCAGATGTGACTTGTCCACACGGCTCCCCAGAGACGGGATTTGGGAAAGGGGAGGAGGAGGAGGCGACAGGGGTGGAGCTGGCATCCAATCCTCTCCAATACCACCATCCCATTGTAGTGCAAAACAGAAAGGAAACAAAACCCGAGAGTGAAAGAGGAGCGTCAAGCGTCAGAGGAACTGGTCTGCCATTCGGGTGGCGGGGAGGGGTGAGACTTGAAGTTTTATTTTTGTAGGGTTTTTTAATTATTATTGTTTTTGTTGTTGTTGTTTTTGTTTGCTTGGGTTTTTTAGAAAATTGGGGATTTGTTCTTTTTTTTTTTTTTCTTTTTTTTTTTTTTTCCTTTTTACAGACCTTCATGACAAAGCATAAAAACACAGTTATATTTATATATCTATTTATATATTTCTTCATTTCGTCGGTCGGTTTGTAATTGTTGCTCCATCCTCCTGTCTGAGCTGATTGTGTGTCACAGAAGTTGTGGGTGTGAGTGAGGTTCTGCCCAGCTCTGGCCTCGAGGGCACCGCGCAGGGCGCAGCCAGCGCCAGGAGCCATGCCGGGGGGTGGGATGAGGTGCGTGGGGAGTAACAGAAAGTCACTTGGTCCTTCTCGTGTGTGCCAGGTAGGCAGGGCTTAGTGCCACCGTCTCTGCTCTAGCCAGGCTGTTCCTTCTGTCCTGGGAAACAGGGCGACGGTCACCGGTTACGCATTCTGAAGAGTTCACCACAGAGAAGCGTATCTTTGGGGATCAGTGTTTAGTGAGCAGCTGTCTCCCTGCTTCCCCCTGCCCGTACCGCTCCCAGGAGAATGGGGTCCCGCAAGGCAATGGCTGCCAGTTCCCCTCAAGTCTTGGGAGCGCAGGAGGTCGAGCTGTGCCGAGGTGCTGCTGAGGGCTCCTGAGGTGCCTCAGGGTGCGGGGGGATGCGGGGAGAACGGGGTTCTCAGTCTGGTATGGCGAGCGCTCGGAGCGGTGGAGAGGGAGGTGTGCTGCGGGGGGGCACGGCGAGGCTCTCTTCACCTTCCCAGGGGCGGAGGGATGGGTCAGACAGGTACAATATGGAGGCCTAAGCTGTCACCCTGCAGTTTCATGTGGTTTCCATGGTAGCTAGTGGCGGTCATAGGCAGCGGCAGCAGTGGGAGGTGCGGAGCCCCGGGATGTGGCACTATAATAATAAGGGGAACCTGAAAGTTAACACAGGAGAAGAATGGACTGGTTGAAAGGACAAACAGTAAAAAAAAAAATAAATAAAAAATAAAACAAAGAAAAAAAACAAAGGAGAACTAAAAACAAAAGAAAAGGAAACGAGGAAAAGGAAAGGGAGCAAAAGAACGAACACTGGGGACTTGGCTGTGTCAGTCAGTGGAGGCTGGCCAATGCCATGCTTCAGAGAAGAGAGGGTACAAGGCCCCTGGGTGTGAAGACCCTCTGTGGGAAGGTGCTCTTGGCCCTTCTGACCATCACTGAGGAGCTGAGAAGGAAGCATCAAGCACTGAATAGAAATACCCCACGCTCGTGTTGGGGGCACCAGGGAGGTGCTCAGCACATGCTGAGTAAGGTATGGTGGGCTGGTTTTAAAGGCAAGAGAGGAAAGGGAACAAAATTACTTTGTTTAATACTTGGGATTTTCGTCAGGTGAGAAGCCCTCTAGACAGTTATTGAATGCATGTTAAATAGTGATCGATTATTAAGATTGCATTTACTGAGGTTTAACGGCACTGGAGTAAAATGTGCATCTATTATCCAGTTGTTAAACCTCCGTAAAAACGTAGTTAATAATCACAGCTGATTTATTTTACGTATAATAAATATCTTCCTGTTTTCTTGCAAAGAGTTGTTGTGTTAGAAGATATGATGAGAAATTTTTTCCCCTCTGCAGAAAAAACCTGGCTTTTTCTGGTCGTATTAGAGTCTCTACAGATAGATATATTCCTGCAAGGAAACTCTACTGGCCATTGAAGATGCAGTGCTGAAGGCTATCTCCCATTCTAGGCAGTGTTCTACTCGGTCTTATAAGAACTCCCACTGGAACTCCAGGTCTCCAGAAAAAGCCTCTGGGGTTAGTTTGGGAGAGGAGTAAAAGCTCGTCTGGGTTTTTGATTGGACCTTGAATAGATGCTAATTGCAGCTGGAGAGAGTAATGGAACTTGAATTTAGCTTCTGATCTGGTCTGGGTTAAACTGTGGGTGCAGCCCGAGAAGACAGAGCTGAGCTGGAATTCTGAGCGATCTCACGGAAGAATTGGCTTCAGAACGGATGCATGAGATCTATGTACTCATCTAGACACTGGACTGGAGAGTGAGGAAAAAGGCCCTTCGTCTGGTCAAAGACTTGAAAGCTCTTTCCAGAAACAAACAAACAGAGAAAAGAAAACAAAGAGACAAACAGAAGGAGCGCGAAGCTGGGGGTGCGGTGGCAAAGAGGTACTCACTTAGTAATGCAGGGTTGCTGAACCGCCAGGCCTCATTGTAGGTTGTGTACTGAGGGTGGCTGTAGGGGTTCCCTGAGAACTCGCTCCCTGCAAGAAATCAAGGAAGTTGTGAAATACGGCGAAGGAAGTAGATGTATGTTTGCTGCTTCATCTAGCCCATGCTCGTGTTGAATCCATATGCCATCAGGAAAACTAGTGCATGTCGCTTCCTTGCTCAGCTGGGGCTGTGCCCTTCAGCTCACCATAGGTTTTGTGCACTCTGTGTGCAGTGCTGCTTATCTGTACAATTAAACATCAAGAGATTGACCTTGGAATGAAGAAGTTAGTTTAAAACAATATATTTCAAAAGTACAAATAATAAACAAACTGGTTTATTTTTCTTTGCCTTCTGATTTCTGATTCTCAGGTTGTAGTATGATTGGATATGCAAGCTTTTTCTATGTCTATCAGCTTTCTTTTAAATAGAATCAGTGTCAAGAAATGGCACGGGAGCTTTAAGGTACGCAACTAAACTCCTCAGAGCCAGCAGGGCTGTTGCTGTCAGTATGTATGGCTAAGTTTTGTCTTTGGGCTACTGAGGGTACAGAAGCATATTGTTTGAGCTTGTTATTGGTGCTGTGCTGAGAGCAGGGTAGGATTAAATACAAAACAAAATAGAAAACATATGAATCACTCTTTCTTTCTTGTTCTTTGATGATGTTAGTCATAAAAGTGATTCAGAGGCCCACACTTATGATTAATCAGTGAGTTACAGAGAAAACTTTCTGTATTCCAGTTCTGGAAAAGAAATTTCCAATGGTTGTTACGTTAGGTGCTGTCTTGAGTCTGGAAGACGAGCTGGGCTATGGATCTCTCTTCACATTTGGCAAATAAGGCCCAAAGCACACTAGTTGTGAACTTTGTGATCTAATAAGACTCTGAACCAAGATTTGAATGTTGTCATCTTAAATATTTTACTGTTTTATAGATGTCTGTGCAGGGCTATGGGAATTATGTTTGGGAACTGAGTAGGTATGGTATTGCTTTCAAAGTAAATACATCTCCCAAAACTTAAAAAAAAAAAAGTCATTATCTGACTCAATTTGATGCAGTACCAATGTGCAATGGGTGACATCTGAAAGGCATTATGTGCTCAAAAGGCAATGAGTGAACAGCATGACATGGCTTCTGGTCTGCTCCAAAGGGTGTGTGGAGAACAAAGAAGTGTTGGGAGAGCAGCTGGGGTCCCTGCTAGGTGCCGTGGAATAGGAAAAGGAGGCAGTGCAAGATGCGCTGGATGCCTGCGTTGCAATTACTGAAGAAATGTCAATTAAATACACTGTAATCTCTGCAAATCTCCCTTCACAGGAGAGTTAAAGCAAAAACCTGTATTCTCACATGGCAGAAGTGAAGTCTGTTGAAGCTGGTGTATTTGCAGTGATTTAAACTCGAGGAGAATCTGTCTGGCTGGGTCCTTTAAAGGTGCTCAGAACAATAACCAAAGCAGCATGTGTGTTTCAAAGCCAATTGCCATCCAAAGGTCCTTTACAGTACTTTTTAGTTTCAGCATACAAATGTATTTCATATGACAAACCTTAAACGTTGTTTTAGTGACAATAATTCAGCATGTTTCCATATCTAGAAACGTTCTGCACTGAAAATCCCAATGGGTAGCTGGGAAGGAATAGGTGAAGCCCATTGTGATGACTAAGATGCCCTGGAGTAGGATACAAAGGCAAAAAGCAACGCGCAGTCCAGGTTTACCTCTCCCACTAATGACCTGTGGGGTATAGTTGGATGAATTCGACCCCCCAGGAAGCAAAAAAACCAACGCAGATGGGAATTACTGCTTTGAAATGCCTCACAAAGAGTTAACCTCTCTACATAGAGAAGTTCTGATGTTTCAGGGCTTCTGTCTCACTTTCTTCCCAGTTGTCATCCTAAACTGTTTATAGCAATTCGTAAAGCCCGGGTTAAGTAGAGGAGAAAGAGCCCTGGCTATGGAGAACCAGGGAGGAGAGAGGGCAGCCACTGGAAACAGTGTTTATTGACGAGGAGTGAAAGCATGCATGCAGCAGGATAATGAGCTTTTGAGCTCAACTGTGACCAAGAGGAACTGAGCTATCGCCTTCCCTGATCACTAATGAAACAAGTGTAATTTCCTCATCAACATTGGATTCTGTTTAACGACTCCCTGCCGTTGCCATCACCAGCCCTCTGCAGGCTCTGTGCTGCTCTATGAAAACTGCAGTTCCTTTCAGAGAATGCTCACTTCACCAAAACTGTTTGCAGAGTCTTGATGGCCTTTCTGGGAAAGTGGAAGAAGTGAGCGGGGGATCGGAGTGCTCTGTTACCTTTGCAGGAAGCACTTCTCAGATGCACGGATTTCATCCTTCTCTGAGTGACTAACACTGCTTTTTCAGGTATGCATGCAGGGACTGCTTGTTTCCATCCGTGTCCATCCAATAACCTGAAACTGTGGGCAACTGCAAATGCAGGACGTGTATTTTGCCACATCATGTGGGTTGACCTCCGAGATACTGGCATGCATGACTGACCGTGTTGCATGGATGTACAGCTAATGGAGACAAGCTCTTCTCTAGACCACGTGAGGAGAACTCCAGTGAAGGGCTGTCGTGGGTAGAACAGAAAGCTATGGTTGGACTGGTCAGTCTTTTCAGTAACTGCTTTCCGCTGGAAAATGCTGTCTCATCGAAATGGAAATGTTTTGCATGAGCTTGTCAACTCAGGGGAGTTTTGGAAGGAAAAGTTCAGAAATGATTGCAAATTAAAACAAAGTATTATGTTTCAACTTCCTTGTTTTGTTTCATTCTGCTTTTCTCATCTCATTTAATTTCCTTTCATCTCTTCTATTATTTTAATATGTCCTGACATCTAGAACATGTTGTCATTATTGAAATGTTTCATCCTGATGTTTGCAAATTGAACAATTTCAAGATTCTGACTCCTCATTCCAATGCAAGATGAAAACAAATGTCAAAAAAATCAGAATTTTGAATGAGTTGGAAATTTTGCTTTCTATCCAGGTTCTGCTTTTAGCTTAGAGCCTTTATTTAGGGAAAACAGAGCTTCTTTCTCACGTCCGCTTATAGCTGGACAATGATGCTGGTTTTCCTGTCACCTTGCTCTGTATTTCTGACACACCCAAAGCACGGGCTCCTGGTCCTTTTGGCCCACAGGCACATAGCAAACCACTGGTGACGTGCTGCTTTGTTTTCCCTTTGCAGCATGGACGCTTAGCAGCCAGCACAGCGGATCGATCTCATGAGGCCCATATTCTGTGCAGTCTGCACTCTGGGAACCTTTACTAACAGTATTTCTTGGTATCTGTATTTAAATCTTGGTACGTTCAGACTTCTAATACAGAAACTATGAGGCATGAAGTGAGCCTAGCGGGTGGTGTGTTCAGAACAAATCAGGGAGGTAGTTTTCACACAACACTCAGTTAAGCTACAGAACTTTTTGCCATAGGCTGCTACAGACATTAAAGGCTTATATTGGTTCAGGAGGCACTGCTTGAGATTATGGAAGGGCATTTTGTCCAGAGTGTTTAGTATTAAACAGGAAGATACTAACTGCTTTAGAAAGTGCACGAGCTGCAACTCATTGGAGGCAGAGAGATCTTTCGAGAAAGTGCTGATACTGGCTTGCTTTACTCTTACACTCTTCCCAAGATTCACTTTTGGCCTCTGATAGAGAGCACTGGCTGAAGAGTCCTGCGGCGTGACCCATTAGAGCTGATCTTATGTTCCTCCCCAGGAAGCCACTTCATCTCCAGCTTGTTGGCTTCCGTCACATAAGAAGACAGGAACAGAAGGGCTGCCAAGCTGGGGCTGCCCAGCAGGGCCTGACCAGCACAGCCAGGACTCGGTGCTATGTAGAAAGATGCAGTAACTAATGCAGGATGCCCAAGCAGGCCACAGGAAGACTTTCCATGACTGAATCTGGGCATCAGTTTTAATGTAAAGATGTCTGTTAGACATGGGTGATAATCTCTTTGGAGTATACGTAACTCAACTTTCTTCTTCATCATTCTATTCCTAGTTTTTTGGGTTTTTTAATTTCAGTATCTGTGTGTTTTTAGAGGCACTCTTGTCTTACGCTAATTAGCCTCTGCAACAAATCTCCTGTTCTTGGATAAATGATCCCTGTGATTAGCAGTCTCAAAATCTTTGTCCCAGTTTAGGAATCAGTAACACCCCTGTATTGAGGGTGTTAAAATTACATAGCAGACACTGAACATGAGATCTTGTGTATTAAAAGTTGAGAAGAGCCTGTGGTTTAGAAATAAGTATTCAAAGAGTCATCTGTTTTAGTGCTACCAATCACTTCTGTATGGCATGACCTATGAACTATAACTGACGTGTATGTTGTAAACTGAATCTGATTACTGTTACAGAGTGCTTTTTAAAATTGATTTATATCATCATAGTGCTCCTCTGATTCTGGAGCCAAGTGGAGTTGAAACCATCTCTCTGAAAAACTGTAGAAGGGGATGCCCTGGGTTTTGCAAACACTGCAGCACCCCAACAATTCAGCAGTCACCTATACTGAGGGACTGAAGGCAGGTTACAGAGGGTACCCATTTGTTATCTTTGCCTGATCTGATAGTCGCAGCATAGTCCAAGAGTTTTTTTTATATGTCTTGGGATCATATGCAGTAGTGGGCATCTTGCTAGCTGTGGAATGTGACCATAGTATTAACTGTACTTTGTGATATATAAGCAGTGATTGGTTGTTTAAAGGTGTTAAGGCTGACCTACAAACATCCCCTATTGGTGATATTTTCACTGATTAACTGTGCTCTGCAGCATGTGCTTGTTTAGTTGGCTGTTTCAAGGTTTGGATGAGGGTTAGACTAGACTCACAAACTGTGGAAACCATTTTGCAGTGATCTAAAAGCTTTCTGTTATCAACTTTCTGCTGCTACACTTCGCAGTTGCTGTCTGAGTCATTCCTCTGGTAGCAGAGGTTGCAGAACAGTTTCTACCCGCTCATTAGCTATTGCAGCTCCCATAAGCAGAAATCAGTGGCAGATGAAGTCCTGAGCTACTGTGGCTGAGAAATGAAAATCCTTGCCTCTTCATTTATCTGCTTGGGCTAGCTGTCATCTGAGAACTGGGGAGTAGAGACTGTGGGAATAACCTTCTCCATTTTTCAAGGGTAAATGATCCCCTGAGCTCCCCATACCCTGGGCAGTATTACTCAAGACATTTGCCAAAAGAATGTGTTTCTTCCAAGGATTTGAGTGGCAAAGGAACAGTTTGCCTTGCAGTGTAGGATTAGGTAGATACTTTCTTGAGCTGAAGGCGTTGTCATATAAACGGAGAGTGGGTAAGTTGTTGGCTGTTGAAAGTGAATAGTTAGTTTCTCCTGAAATGCTGTTAATCATTGCTGAGCTCTTAGCTAGTCCAGGCTGTGGACAGTAGGTCTCCAAAAACTGCAGGTCTTAAATTACCGTTGATGGTTTGCAGTTTGAAGCCCTGCCTTTAGACAGATGTAAGTTGTTACCCTAAGTTAGTGAACAGCTGAATATCCCGAGCCACGAGCAGTACATAATAACCTGCACGGATCATTGAAAAATAATTACATTAGTTAATGAATACTAAGGTTAATTAATTACCAATTAATTGGTACAGGTTATAGATAGCTAGTTGCCCATAGCAGCAGTGAATCAGTTACCAGGGGACAGACATACAATGCAAAATGGGTGGTGAGCTACTTTGGTTATAGGCACCTGACATATTCTTTGTGACAAGAATAGACTTCAGTGGCAGCAAAGCAATAACAAAGCCAACTGTGAAAGCTGTTACACTGCTGGTATACTGTTCAAACACACGTGCACCATTATTGAATTCTGGACTTACCAGGAACCATTCCTGCCAGAGTTGAGGTTGGGTAGCTGCCTTGTCCAGTTGGGGGAACATGGGGTGGGTAGCCAGGCAAGGTGGTGCTTGCCATATCACGACCTGAAAAAGGAAAGAATCGGAACAGGGGATCAGAAGGGATAGGATCATCCAATATTGATTTGATATCGCTTTTTACCCCACCACCATTTGACTAGCAGTCTGTTGGGCAAGAGCTGTGTGGCCTGCGGCACATAGATGCTGACCTTCCTCTGAAAATTTTGGGGAAAGACTGTGGCGCTTTTGGTCTCAGGTTATAAGGATGAATGTTAAAACTTTGCACTGTGAGGCTCAAAAGAATTTGTTTACGCTGTCAATTTTTTTTTAGCCCATTAGAAATGTTGGATCTGTTTTAGCTAAATCAAAACGGCCCTAAGCTTCACAAAGAATGGCAGTACACTAATGGCCAGACTAGCTGAGGTCCCTTCTATAAGCAGTCGATGCCATTCCAAAAATGTGGTGATGTTGCCTAAGGGCATGGTCGATGTGTAAGGCACTAGAAAGTGATCCAGGTGTTTTCTGCATCTGTCTCTGTTCCCACTTCTTGCTGTTCACCTGCTGATACTTTTAGGCAAGTCACTTCACCTGTCTGCGCTTCTTTTTATGCTGCAAACTCTTTGGTGCAAGGGCACATTCCCAGTACATTCGCACAGTGCCTATCGTGAGATCAGTGCTTGTTGGACACCTTCCAGGTGCTGGTGTGATATATAAGAATGGAATTGTGCAAATTAATTTCAGTCTCACTTCATTTTATCACAGATCCAAGTTTTTGTTAGTAGTTCTCCAAGTCTTGGTATCTTGTCTCCACCAATGATGTAGAAAGGCGTGTGGGCCAAGTGGATGATGGTAGTTTATTTTTCATCTCATAGGAAGTGCAGCTGGAGGCTTCTTGGTTGATGCCAGAGGCATTTCCTCATTTGGACTGGTTAGCCAGAAAATGGGCCAGCCAGAAGGGCATTTTGCTGTTAGTGCTTATTGCATTTAAATGAACTGAAATCATTTCAAAAGCTGCTGGGAGTTTCAAGCCAAAACCAAACCAAACCAAACCAAAAAAAAAAAAAAAAAAAAAGACTAAATGAATTAAGATAATCTTTCCCCTGCAGCTGCTGGGAGATTTACAGCTCAACATCCAGCGCTGTCTACTGAGATCTCAGCCTGTTCTGCCGTCCAAAGCCTTTCATGTTCCTTATGTTCCTTAGGTGAGCTGTAGCTCACCAAAAAGTTTGTGCCAATTGTTGCTCCTTTCTGAAGAGATACTTATTCTTAGAGAGCTGGAGTCTGATTTGCCTTTGGAAGTGTGACAGTTTAAGGAAGTCCCCCTGACACCAGTGGAATCACTGGAATTGTGCTGGGATGTGTGATGGGAAGAATAAGAATTGCTTTAGCTTGACTAAGGCAGAACAGTAACTGATAAGCAGGCCCTGGAACAAGCATGGATGTTGTCCGGGGTGTCAGAAATAAGTAACAGTTACATGGCAGAGCGAAAACATGGAAAATCAACATGGAGAATGACCCCTGGGGGAGGAAATTTCTCCAGAATTAGGTGGGCTAAAGCAGTGTCATTGCTTTTGTAGATCTTGACTAAAGGCTGCTGAGCTGATTTGCTCAAGAAAAAAGAAAAGTAAGTTCTTTCTCCCTCAAGAGATTCCTGAGCCACAGCTGACATTCCCAGCTCACTTTGAGATAATGGCCACAGAACTGCTAGGCAGAGATCGAGCCGCTTTCCAGCCGCTCCCCAGTACTGATAAAAATAAATATATATGGCTTTGAGGATTTATATCCTACACTCTTCTACTCTTCTCAACCACCGGCGTTGCTTTAGTGATGTGCAGATGCACATTAAGCAGTATGACTAACGCCTACTAGATGTAGTTCTTTCTTTCTCACATTCTTTTAAGGGAAGAAATTTTTGTGCTTCAAATTCATGTATTTTTGGTTTTCTATATTCACTAGTCTGAGATGTAACGGCAGGTGATGAGTGAGAAAACAGTGTCACTGAAAAGTTAGAGAGAACATTATGTAGTAACAGGCATAATTAATTCACTTTGACACTTCCATTCAAGTGGGAATACGTACACACTCACTCTGCTACCTGATCTGCACTCATATGCCCCTGTGTTTTTATTCAGATGTGAGCTTACAGAGGCTGATTTTCAAAATGCAGTGTGGAAGATTTGCTGGGAAGTGATCATCTGTCAAAATCCCAATCTTGTAGATAACAAACAAGTACAGTATCACTAATGTGAGTAAGATCCTGCAGAGGGACTCTTAAGTATTGCTACATAGAAGCAACCCCCTTCCACTGCCTCCTCTTGTTGCTACCAGGTAAACAAGATTATTAAATTCTTGCACTGGAGGGCTATGGCAAAACCAGCATTTGTCCTGCTTTATAGCATGTTTCCAGTTCTAGTCACGCTTCTTTCTCCTAGAGCCTTCTGAGGCTCTTCTCATCTTTGTCACTCTGCCTTTCTTTGAGCTTTTGAACATTTTCTTCCAAGTCTAATTCTCCACAAATGTCCTAAAGCAAGTTCCTCTCCTGAAAAACAGTGCCTTCTAGCTTAGAAAGTGGTCATATATGACAGCATCCCCACTGAACCACATTGTTGGAGAGATTTTGTCAGTATAAGCCCTGGCTTAAAGGAATGCCTGGAGCTTAGGGGCTCTTTTTGGCTGCAGTAAGATTTGGACAGTGTTATGAACACAAATTTCTTTTCTGTAGTTGCTTGCTACTGTCCTACAGGGAGGTTTGGAAACACAAATGTCATCTAAGAAGACAAAGGCAGGATGTTAGGTCAAAAGAGAAAAAAATGATAGGAACATGAAAGAGGCAAAGGTAAGATACGTTTCTTGAGCACTGTGGAACTGTGTCTGCACTCTGAAGAACTTGCCCAGATTATGTTCTTTGGCAGTGGAGTGACAACACTCTCAGTCGTCACCTAAAAAGATTGCCACTATTTCATTCCAGCCACCTCTGAGCTTCTGCAGCAATGACAATTCAGTCACCTCACACAGGAACCTCCCCTGTACCTACCTTAAACTCCGCTCTCCTTTCTCCCCTCCAGCCTGCTGCTCCTAAGTGCTCCATTTTTGCCACCTACTTCTGTCCTTCCCTTGAAGGCCACCACCACAGGTCTGCATTCACTTGACTATAAGGCTTCAGAGTCTCTAACCAACCCTTTCTGGTCATGGCATAAAGACCATGCCTTTTGTCTTGACTGCCTGGTCTATCACGTGAGGTGCCAGTGAAGCAGCTGCCTCAGTGCAGCTCACGGTGTAGCTGGGGTGCTGCTCACCTACTGACTACATACTGCTCTCTCTTGGTAGCTTTCACAAGCCATGCTGAACAACCATCCGGCAGTCTCAGGGCTGGCTAACTTAGTCAAGCTTCAATCATCTACCTTAGGCTAGTGCACAGAAGCCTTGCTGGGCCCACTGTACACAGGGGCGTTCTTGTTATGGAGACAATGCAGGATTTTGCTGTACAAATATTTCCCTACTAAGCCCCAAGCCCATCCAAGTGGGACACTTTCTATGCTTTTACAGCTTTTTTTCCCCATTTTATTCTGCAAAAATGAAGGACAGGCATGAAATCTCCCTGTGACTCTCCATGGAGCTGAGAACGCATGCTGCATACACAGAACCAGAACACCGTTGCTCTGCTTCCCACTTGCACTCAAAGAGCTTGCAGCATTTACTGGTCTCCCCATCAGGTGAAACTGACCCCCTTGCCTGCAGCACCCCCGCTGAGTTCGTGGCCAAGGCCGGTTACCTGCTATCAGAGGCTGGCTGCTGGACTGCCCAAAGTGGGCACCATGATGAAGGAAGGCACTGTAGCAAGGCGTGGACGCATCGTCTGAAAGGGTCATGTGGAAGGGCTGAAGCTCAGCCTGCCCAGAGCCGACCGGCGTGGTGGGGGTGAAAGGGGTGAGAGAGGCTCCATGAGGCTCTTGCTTTATACTGAGGGGAGAGGAGAGGTTTTCTGTGGTAGGGTAAGGGATGGACACAGACAGACAAAGGGAACAGGGGGAGGAAGAGGAGGGTGGGAAGGGAGGAGAGGAAGAACAAAATGGGTAAATGAAAATGAAGTGGTTAAAATCTACAGGGAAACTAATTTAAAAACAAAAATAAAAATAAAAAAGGTTAGGAGTAGATCAGAGGAGCCAGTGCTGAGACAACAGCAGTAAATGCACCCGGGGGCTAGGCTCTGACTGCAGTGATGCCTCTGCAGGGCAGCAGGGTACGAGAAAATGGAGTGCGGTGGCAGATGGGAGGAATGGGATGCAGGGGAGTGTGGGAGTGAACATGCGGGAGAGGGAGGACAGGAAGAAGCGTAGGGTTGGGAAGGAGAAGAATGCTCTGAAGCTTCTATGCTCCCTTTCCTGCTGCTTTCTCTTGCTCACATGACGATGCTATGCTCGCACGGTTTGGCCCAGGGAATTATACCCCTTTGTCTCTTCAAACCCAAGGTTATCTTCCCTAGGAGAGCGGCATGGTTATGAGCATCTGTTAAAGAGGATGCTCGATGTAATGGCCAAAGCTTGTCAAGTCAAGCTCCTTAAAAGCTTTGACAAAAGAGGAGCAGCTGAAGTTTGCAGTGGTTAAAATGAAAAACTGAGCTGTGCCATTAAATAGGTAAATAAATGGATAAATAATCAATTAATCTTTTTTACAGTGGCACACACTCAGTACTGCCTCTGGTAGTTCCTAGAGCACAGTGTTTCTAGACAGATAGGCTGATGAACAGATAGAATTGAGGAGAGAAAATGTGGGAAACTTGTACAAGGTCTCATTTTCACTGCTATTTGCACTGGACCTCCATTTCTGATGTGCAGATTTGCACAAGCACAATAGATACAGCTCTAAGTTGCTCCTAACCGAGCTCCCAGAAGCAGGTCTGGGAACTGTAGAACACTGTGACCTAAAGCATGGTACTGCACTGTTGGGTCAGCAGCAATGGAGTCCTGTACTTAAACACCTGAAAGAGAAGCATGGATGACATGCTCGCACATGGTCCAAATCATCTCTCAAACCAACTACCCAAAGCCAATTAATAAAAGCCATCTCTCTGCCTTAATGGCAAGTCTTGCTAATGGTATGTAAGTTAGTTGTGGTGGTTTTGATTTATACAGAGATACAAACGAGACATATAATTAGATGATAAATCTGGCCTCATTAAAGTAGAACTGGCTTTAACTGACTCTAGGCACGTTATTGTGAGGCTGCAGTGCTCACCTAAACAATTAAGGGCTGGGCAGTTTCTGTCTGTGAATACTGTTTATCCTGAGGCGTTTGTTTCCAAAGGTTTGTTACCTAGCAAAAACGATAATTTTCCATCTGTGTTCTCCTCCAAGTGCCTCTAACCTAGATGGCCGGCAAGGATCCATGAGCTGTGAGACTCCTTTGCAGCAAAGACATATGGTCATGGGTCATTTGACTACTAAGGATCAGTTATGGCCAAAAGATATGCAGTTCCCATTTGTTTAGATTATGTATTGGAAGCCTCTGGTATGCTCAGTGGGGACTGTTGTTTCTTCTCCCTTTTTGCCATTGGAAGTTCTGTCGGGCAAGGAACTTTTCTTAGGGATGTGATGAACAGAAGCTGGAGTCTGTGGTGATTATTACACAGTTAATTAGTGTAACCAGAGTGAGCAGCACATCAGCTTCCAGGCACTGCTTTTTACTACTGGATACTGTCCTACAGTCCTGCAAGTGAGTCTTTGTAAGCCAGTGCCCAGTCAGTAGATGGAGAACCCCCAAAGCTGTTTCTCTTCTGGCTCTCCTGTCAGATGGCAAGAGAGTGTACAGATCTAGCAAAATAAACGGGAGAAACCTCAGTTCTGAGCATTCTGCAGTCTCCTTGCTGCTCTCTGCGCTGTGCAGGAGACGTCAAGTGTAGGGAGCTGCTGGGGAGAAGATGGACGCGGGAAATGTGGGTGGGCAGAAGCAAGAGGTGCTGTGGGCAGAGGTTAATCCTGTTTGCACAGCCCCTGGGCACGTTGGGTTTCCTAGTCCCTCCCCTGCTTTATTTCTCTTTTAAAGCATGGAACTTTCAGCTATAATCCTTCCTAAACCGTGGCATTTTTCAGGCGCTCTGTGTAAGTGAAACCATAATCTCTGGTAAAACAGACCGCTTAAGCTGCTGTAGCATTAGGACAATCTGATCCAGCCCCTGGATTTCCGCTCTGCCCAGCCACCACAGAGAGGATTTCAGCCTGAAAGGCTGCCTAAAGCCCTCACGATGGGAACAACAGTGCCAGGCCTTGCCTTGCAAAGCTGTGCAGGGTTAAGGGACCAGAAGCTATTTGTCCCGGTGCTCTGAGGCTATTAAAGCCCCTGTCAGGCTCACTGCAGAGATGAGCCCAGCCTTCTCTTGAGCACATCAAGGCTTATGAAGAAAAATTCCTCACACCTTGCAGATGCAGCACCACTTAGTGCAGGGGGATAAAGAAGTCAAGAGCAAGATGGCAAAGAGAACTGGGACATAGTGCTGCTGAGCACTGCTCTCTAAGAAAAGCAGAGAGTAGAGGAGGGCAAGGTGAGACAGCAAATGTTTGCACAACCACACCTCAGACTTTTACATGTCTATTTGTATGTCTGTCTTTCAGTTTCCACTCTGCAACTGTGTGGACATAGTTTATATCCCATGCAGTGTTACTGGTGGATGGCACTTATGAATTTTACCCTTCTGTTGTCCAACTCTTCACTGACTGAAAGCACCTGGATTCTGTCTCTGATATAACCCCACCCCTGCTGTGCTGGAATAATTGCCCCAGCAGTGAGTTATAGCTTCAAACTGTGTCAGTACCGATGACATCAACTGATTGATCTATCTATCTATCCACCTGTGAGTGACACAGTCCCATTTTTCATTTTAACCATCTCAAACTTCAGCTGCACCGATTTTGTTTTTACTTCTGATTTTCTCCAGTCTCTAATAATTCTTTTTGTATATGGGAGGAGAACAGGGAAAGAAATTCTGTACGTGGCCTTTCCTGTCCCAAGTCCTGCTAGGGCCCGCAAACCAGCTCTCCTGGCACTTCTGAGTCTCATGGGAGTCCCGTGGTCAGATGGTACTGGGGATGCCAGGGTATCTAACAGTGTCTTACTAGTATGGAAATGGACCTGCAAATGGCTGGGGGATGGGATGAGGTACAGCCCTTCTCCAAGGGAGCAGAAATCTATTCATCTTCCAGACTCCTTTCTTCTAAAAGGTACACAATAGCCTTCTTTCTGAGCAAACAAATATCACCCAATGGGGTGGGGGAAATTTGGAAGGGTCAGCAGGGTGTGGATATAGCTGGAAACATAGCGGAGGACTACATATTTTCTGCATCTCCAGCTCCTTTCTTTCTGACTGTACTTGCTGAGTTATGGCTGTTTTTCTTCCTTTCTAACCCTCTCCTCTGTTATTCTGGCGGAGAGCTAGAACCAGTGATCTCTGGCCTAAATTCCCCCTGCGAATGAAGGGATTTTGGCCAGACAGGGTGAGAGGAAGATTCACAGCTTTGGGTTCCTACAGAGACTCATCTCAGCTTTTATCGTGCTCTCTGCTGCTGAAGGGAAAGAAGCAGGGGGGTCACAGGACTGGGTAAGCGGCTTGCTTTTCACTGCTGGTTTCCTGGAAGATAATCTAGCTGCCTTTAGTGCTCCTTTTCTTTGCAGTAAAGGAAGAATATCAGGATCTGGAGGCACATCCCTCCAGAAGAGTTGACCTGAGTGCTCCCACTTGACAACACTGCACACGGTCTTGTTAGTGTTTGGAGTCCTTCACCTTTTCCTGCTGTCTTTCTAAAATATTTTCATGATCTCAGTGCCTCATACTCTTTGGAGCACGTGTCCTTACGGCATCCCCCAGGGATCAGCTTAGTCTGCGAGGAGCTCAGCACAGAGAAGATGTACGCAAGGTCATGCAGGAAGCCTGTGTCAAAGCTGAAGCTTATCTCAGGTGGTTTGGGTCCCTTTGCTTGTACCCACCACTGAAGTTTTCCATATTTACATTTCCTCCGTGCTGATAAATTCCTTAGAAAGGTTTCAGTGTGACAAGCAGAACGGGAGGGGGTTCTCAGTGTTCATGAACTGTGCTTTTATACTACAGTCAGTGGAGTTGCATTGCTTCATCTCGTGAGAATCTTGCCTCAGAAAAGTCGTGCAGAAGACCAGGCTGGACTAATACAGCCTGCCTTGACTTTTGCTTTCTGCCATGTCAGAAGAACCACTTTTCCTGGCTTTATTTTGCAAGAGCATTATGCAGGTGGCACTGAAGATAAAAATTGTCTTTTTTTTTTTCTTTCTCTGTATTAGTAACAGACCTTTGCTAGAGCACCTAGAAAGTATGCAAAAACTAACCTACTTCTCATTGTACGTTTCTTGCCTTCTCTTTAAACTCGTGCTGACTGGAGAATAAGTTTTTCACATCCAGGTTTTATTTAGTTTCTGCAAGATCCATCCAGATTCCTAGCCCAATACTTAACTTGTGGATTGATTAAATATATGCTTAAAGAAAAATAATAATAATAAAAAAAAGGGATTGAAAGAATTACTCTTGGATTGCTTTCCAAGAAAGTAAAAACTGTTGACACCATGATGTCAAATTTTTAAATCCACTAAATCCCATTTTTTACCAAACTGAATTCTACAAATCTATATTTTTCGTCTGATCTAATTAATTGCTGCTCTCCATGTAATCTGGCATGCTGCCCCTGTCTGTTTCTTCAGAGAGAAACTGACCTTTCATAGCCATCATACCTAGCTAAACATGGAGCTGCCTATGACCTGGACTTAATCTTTGAAACTGGTTGAATATTGTTAATGTTGATGTTAACTCCACTGAAGTCAACTTTCCGTGGCTCTAACTACATTTGTTTGCAGAGGGAACTGATAGAGGAAGATGCACTTCAAAGTCAGAAGGAAAAAGCTGTGCCTGTACGTTTGGCACACACAAGTTCAGTGAGTTCATCCTGTTGTCCCCTTTCTTGGGTC